GCTTCTCACAGCCACCAAACAGCCACTGGGAGCAGGCCCTGTGCTGGAAGCTTCATCAGCAGCATGAACACAATTCCTAATAATACCCAGCAGGTAGTTACAGGACCAAAGCCAACTGGCTGAGAGCAATGGGGAGGGGTGGGGATTGTGGCAAACAGGCGAGTGGGCACTCCCTCCAAAGGGGGCAGCTGCAGCGCAGCCCCTGCCAGCTGCTATAGGCATCATACTGAGACAAGGGCAAGAGGTGCCCCTGCTCTCAGTCCCATACTTTGGAGGTCCTTGCTCTGCCTCTCCTGGGGCTGCAGCCCTCTCCATGGAGTAAGGAGTCCACAGGAGATCATGTGTACCTAGAACAAATACCCACCCTTCTAGACCACATTCTGGGTATTTGAGACCCTAAAATTCCCTGTCCAAGAGGCCCCAAGCCTATCTGTTCTCAGAGGGACAGATGACAGGATCAAGCAGGAGCAACAGGGAAGGTGGGTAGGGGGCCAATGGCCAGAGGCTGAACATTCAGGTTAGGGTGTCCTCAGGCTCCCTGTGGTGTAGGATGGGGCCAAGGATAAGAAGGAGGGGGCAGGGAGCAGGCATTGCTCATACTACCACTTTCTGGCACAAAACTCCACGGAGTCTCAGAATTCTACATTCCAGTCTAGCCTTCCAGGTCACTAGGAGTGAACATTTGTCAAAGTAGAATAGATTGAATATATTTCAGTTTTGAGGCTTTGTAATGGCTTTTACATATTTGCAGTAGAATATGGGCCTCCATTTGCACTCCTGCCCAAGTCCCACAAATGTCAGGGGCCAGGTAGGTGACTATGGCTAGGCAGGAACAATGCTGGAAATACTGATTTTTATGTGATGCTTTTTGATTTCTAAAAGTTGACAAATAAGTCAAGCATCATCATCAACACTGTGGGGATAAACCAAACATGTCAGCAGGCTGGCTGAGGACCATGGGCTGCCAGCCTGAAGCCTCTGCAGCAATACGACGGCAACATCGAGCACCCGAGCAGAACTTCACATCAGCACGTACAGCCCTCCATATCCGCTTTCCGATTTCATCATCACAGTGACCCTCTGAGACAGTGACCCATTCATGACAGTTAGGGGAACTGAAGCTTGGAGGGTTTGAGCAACTGGTTCCAAACCACAGAACTCATAAGTGGTGGTGGCAGAATCTGTGGCTACATCTTCCAACTCCAAACCCAGCTTCTCCTGCAGCACTGTGTGGTTCGCCAGCAATTATCAAGTCTCCAAGGTCCTGACACCGTGCTGGGCACTTACACTCTTCCAGCACTTGATGGATGAAGACTCGAGGTGGAGAGGTCACGTGGTCATTCTAGGTTGGAGCCGGCTGGAACCAAGGTCTGACTTCTCTAGAGCCGGAGTTTTGTCTTGGGAAGGAAAAAATCCAAACAAAAAGAAGTCTGTTGGGAAAAGTCTGCCCTCAGCTAAAAGCAGAGGAGCAACAGAGACAGCCTTTTCTTGGTGACCATATGTGCGAGTTTGAGCTGTATGAAGCTGCAATCTGTGCGGAGGTGGGGGTGGGGGAACTCTTACCCAGTACTTTAAATTAATCAGTGTAAAAAGAATCCATTGTGAAAATAATTGCATTGAGACAAAGACCTCCAGAGATGCCACCACCAGTCTGGTGGCACGGGTGTACCTGCCACAGCAAGAACAAGGGTGTTCACAAGCAGGTGGTTCTGCACAGGTGGGAGCAGTGTGACTACAAGGGGAGCCCCGCGTGTCAGACATGGCCCAAGGAGGGTGGCAGCAGGCTCTGGCCCCCAAGAAGTCTCAGAGGTATCAAACTAGCCACCTCAATGCATCTCGTCTGAAAGCCGATGACCACCTCCATGCCCATTACATTCTGAGCGCTCAGTGTCAGGCACTCTGCCAGATGCTCTACAGCCATGATCTCGTGAACCCGCCAAGACAGAGACTGTGAATTCTGTTTCAAAGGTGGGGAAACTGAGGTATAGGGGTGAAGGAGCCAAAGGTTACAGCTGATAACAGGCAGAGCCAGGATTTGAGCCCAGACTGGCAGTTCCCAAGGTCTGGCCTCTTCACCACTGGGTGATACCGTCCGTTGTCCCACAGGGACCGTCAGCTCTGCCTTTAGGGACTAATCAATTACTGAAATGTACTCTCTCTGTCATCTGAAAAAGGGGTAAACAACCGATGGAGCTAAGCGCTGACGCTTTGGGAGGATTCAATGAGATGACACTTGAAGGAGACTTCACTTGGCGTCTGGCATAATCACTGCGCAGCCCCACGTCTTTACAATCTAATCAAAGGCTCTGCCCGCCTCCGCAGCCCACCTCCTGCCGTTCCTCCCCGCCCCTGAGCCCGGCCTCAAGGAGCTCCCTACACAGGCTGTGCCCTCACCCCAGCAAACTGCTCCCCAACCTCTGAAGATGCCATTCGATGCTGCCTCCTTACCCCATGCAGGGGTAACTCTTCACAGGCCCCTCTGGGCTTCAACAGCATGCCATCCAGACTTCCGTTTCAGCACTTATTTTTGGTGTAATTACATGTTCACAGATCTGTTTCCTATAACAAGCTCATCTGAGATCCCATATGCATTAAACAAAAACGGGCAGGGAGGGGCGGGCCCCGTGGCCGAGCGGTTAAGTTCGCGTGCTCCGCTTCAGGGGCCCGGGGTTCCACCAGCTCTGGTCCTGGGCACAGACACGGCACCACTCGTCAGCCCATGCTGAGCGGGTGACCCACATAGCATAACCAGAAGGACCTACAGCTAGAATATACAACTATGTACTGGGGGGGCTTTGGGGAGAAGAACAAGAAGAAGGTAAAAAAAAAAAAAAGATTGGTAACAGATGTTACCTAAGGTGCCAATCTTAAAAAAACAAAACAAAAAAACAGGCAGGGAAATCTAAGGCTAACACACCACAAAGAGGAAAGGTTTCAAGTACTTGGAATGTGAAGCATCCTGTGCCATGTACCAACACACCAGCTGGCACGGTGGAAGGTGTGCTGAGCCCCTTCAGAAAGCACTGCCTCAAAAGCCATAAACAATCCCAATGATCCTCTGACCCAGTAGTTCCACTTCTGGGAAGAATTGTGAAGAAGACAATTGGGAAAACAAGAAAAAGAAAGTTTTGTGCCCAGAATCACCTCTGGATTCTGATGCAAAAAACAAACAAACAAGACAAGCAAACAATCTAAATGCCCAAGCACAAAAGGGTGGCTGAGCCACCTAGAGCAAAACCAATGCCTGTTTGTTGATTATTTACATCTACTAAGTGCCTGTCACTTCATGGTGTCATCTCGTCCTCACACACAAGCTGGGGAAGTGGGAGGCACAATTATCCCTGTGTTACAGTGGGGAAGATGGAGCTCAGAGGTCAGGACGATATAGCAGCTACTAGCATTGAGAGCCCGCGCCAGGTGCAGTTCTCAGCCGTCTGGACATTATCTCAGTTACTGCTCACAGCAGCCTGGGAGGGAGCTGCCCTTCACACCCTCCCTTTACCAACAAGAGACTGAGGCCCAAGGCCGGAGGCCGGAGGCTCAGAGATGTTAATAACGCATCCATCCATGGCCACTCTCCTGCCAAGTCCATGGTCTTAGCCCCTAGGCTCCAGGCGGCGTGCCCGAGGTCACTCGGCAGCTGTTAGCAGAAGCAGGCTTGGGGGCCAGGCACAGCTGCCTTGAGACCATGTGCTTTCTACCCTGAGGTCTTCCTCCCGCCACAGACTGCAGACTGCAAACAACCCGTTTCCCACTGTTTCAGGTTAACCTGCGTCCCCTACAAGGTCCTTAATTCCTAACCCCCAGGACCTGCGAATGTAACCTTTTTTGGAGATGGGGTATTTGCAGAGGATCAAGTTAAGATGACGTCAGTAGGGTGAGTGCTAATATAAAGACACATGACTGTGTCCTTATAAAAGGGGGGATTCTGACATACAGACAGACATGCACAGAGCAAGGACAACGTGCAACCACAGCGAGAAGGTGATCTCAAGCAGAGGACGCCTGAGGTGTGGGACACTTTCTCCCTCGAAGCCCTCAGAAGGAGCCAACCCTGCCGACACCTCATTTTGGACTTCTCATCTCCAGACTGTGAGAGAATAATTTCTGCTGTTTAAGCCCCGAGTCTGTTACTTTGTTACAGCAGCCCTGGGTTATTGGTCACTTATCAGACCATGAGGCAACTAGGAAGATGGCAGTAATAGGGGGCAGGAAAGAGCGCCTGAGGTGCACGTGGTGGTAAAGGGAAAATCAAGGGCCAACACCACGCTGACTGCCTGACACTACAGTGAACTCACAGCTGGATGCAGAGAGAAGCCTGAAAGGAAACACACCAGCATAACTAAGATGCCGTCCAACTGGCTCTCCCTGCTCTTCGACATTTTCCCAATTTTATCCAGCAAGCTTGCATTACTTTTATAAATTTTATAAAACTGGTTTAAAAACATATTTTTGAACCATGAGAATCTGGAGGTATATAAGAATCCTTGTTATGGGCTGAACTGTGTTCCCCCAAATTCACATGCTGAAGCTCTAACCCCTAGCACTCCAGAATGTGACTGCATTCAAGACAGGGCCTTTAAAGAGGGAACGAAGTTAAAAATGGGTTGTTAGGATGGGCCCTACTCCAATATGACTGGTGTCCTCGTAAGAGAGGAGATATGACACAGAGAAAAAGAGACCTTAGATACGGGCACGCACAGAGAGAGGCTCATGTGAACATACTCAAGAAGGTGGCCACCTGCAAGCCAAGGAGAGAAGCCTCAGAAAAAACCAAACCCACCTACACCTTGCCCTAGACTTCTAGCCTCCAGAAGCACGGGAAAATAAATTCCTGTTGTTTAAGTCCCCCAACCTGCACTATTTTGTTATGGCAGCCCTAGCAAACTCACACAAGGAACCAAAGGCGGGCAGGCGCTCCCACACCCCCAACACCGCACGCTGGAGCTGTGAAACCAGCAGAGTGTGCCCAGCGGGCAGAGCACGGTGACCTCACTCACCTAAGCAGTTGTGTCCATCGTGTGCCAACATGAAGCCATCAAAGCAGGTGCACCTGTAGTTCCCCGGGATATTGATGCATTCGTGGACACAGCCCCCGTTGTAGTAGTCATTCTCACACTCGTCGATGTCTGCAAAACGAGGGGCACGAGAGGTGTCAGAGGAAGTGCCTGGGGGTCCCCTCTCCCCTCACCACTGAAGCCACCAGGACCTGTGTGGTAAGGGGATGACTCAACAGGTATTCACTAAAGTCCTTGATGGGGGCTGGGGACCCAAAGATCTCAGGGATGAAGATCCTGGTTCTGCAGCAAGGCTGGCCACCACCTTGCAGGGCAGGGCCGGGTGCCTTCCAGCGCCACCACAGTGAAGCAGGCAAGATTCACACCCAGCTCTGCCTCCCTCGAGAGCTTCTCAACAACAGCAGCACGTGGGGACCCTGTCTAAAATCCCCCAAAACTGGCTCTCTTCAGCCTCTTGGAAAGCCTCCCAGAGACAGGGGGCTCACTGTGAAGCAGGAAGGCTCAAATAAAATGAACTTTGCATATCCTAAAAAGCGTAACCTCTGGATCGAGGGAAAAGTCCACACACTTCTCCCAAACAGTTTCCTTCCATGTCAGCGTCTGAAGCCTGAATTTCTACTGCTCCAGCGGCCTTGTTATAACAAAGGCTTCTGTCTCATAAACAATGGCCAACAGCCTTTGTAAAGGTCACGCTTTTGCTGTTTTAAGTCTTTTTCAACATTTCCCATCAGGGGTCAAAGGGCTATCAGTCCTGGAGTTCCAGAGAGATTTGGGAGACCTCGGGGAATAATAGGGACAGCTTAGTTAAGATTCAAGAGCTGCTTCTATACCCGAGTCCCGCTGGGGACAGAACGCTGCATGCCATGATGTCTTCAAGCCCCACGCTAACCCAGCCACGAAGGCACTGTCATCGCTACTCCCATTTTACAAGGTACCGAAGAAGCCGAGGCACAGAGCGGCCGAAACCTCGCCAAGGGTCACACCCGGAGGATGCGGCACAGGCGGGATTCGAACCAGGGCAGCCCAGCTTGGGAGCCCAAGGGGGCCTAACCCTGGGCGTGGTCCGGGAGAGGAGAGCAGGGGGCGGCTCTGGCTCCGGTAGACCCGTCAGCATAGCCTGAGGGCGCTGCCTCAACCCACACCCAGGCCGACCTCCACCAGCTCCGCAGAGAATCAGGAAAGAGGTACTAGGAAGTCCCCCCAACAGCGAAAGCGGAAGTGCTGCCCTCACTGGAACCGGAAGTACCCGGGTTAAGCAGAACCGGAAGTGCCTCACAAGAGGGTTCCGCGGGAAACAGCAATCCGTCCCCTACCTGGTTGAAGAGGGATTTTTGAGGCCAGGTTCCAGCTATGAAAGCCGGAATGGGGTCAACCAGAAGAAGAGCGGGGGCCAAAGGCAAGCCTGGCTGCTCCCTGAAATGCCTGGGGAGCTGGCACAGGGAGAGACACAGCTCCATGCTCTCTCCATGCTTGTCCGGAGGGCAGAGCTACACACACAAGTGGAAAACCATGGGGGCCCATTAAGGGTCACAGGTAGGAATATCCATCTGGAAGACAGAGCCTGTCTCAAAAGGTAATACGCTCCTTGACACCGGAGGTGACCAAGCACTGTCGGGACACCTGACTGCCAGGGACGCTGCCAGCAGAGGGATAACTTCAGTGAAAACAGCAGCAGGAAAGCACCAGAATACAGAGCCTGGCCTGTGTAGCCTACTCCTGGTGCCTACCCACCCCGCCACTATGAGGGAAAAATGAAGTAGCCAGGCTCTCCAAAGGTGCAAGAGAGGGAAGCTACGCCTCACCTGCTGCAGTAGCCATCGGCATCCGCTGGGAAGCGGACACAATTCTGCAAGTTATTTGAGTTGTTTCCAATCATTATATTTAACGCACTTAGAAATTTTAAATGACATTAGAAGAGGATATAAGATTTTATGTTTGAAAGGGCGCATGGTTTATAAAGACTGAGATATTGATTATTTCCCAATCTCCACAGCCCTGATCTTTTGCCAGAGTCCCAGATACATCAATCCAACCACCTCTCCCCCTGGACCTTCCATAAACACTCCAGAGGCAACACGGCCCAACTTTAACTCATTAACCTGCACTTCCTGGGGTTCCCCATCCCAGTGAGGACTATTACCCTTCCACCTCTCCACTGACATCAAATCAGCTACAAAAGCGTAGTTTTCTACACGCTTATACAGTTATAGTGTGCCCACTGGTCAGCTATTTCCACTACCTTCAGCATGAGCATCATTTCTCATCTGATCTGAACCAGCAGTTCCCAAACTGTTCTTCCCTCCTTTCCTTCATTCAAGCAGGTGACTCAGGAGAAGGTCTCAGCGTGGGCATATGACTTAGGTTGCCCAGTCAGACTGAGGAGAAGGACTTCTATTCCATGCTTGGGTAAAAGAATTCTCTCTCTCTCAAGTTGTATCTCAGATGGAAGTATGCAGGAATCTACTCCTGAAGCATACACCAGCCCACTTAATTTCACAGCAACGCTATGGAGCAGGTATTTTAATTCCATTTTACGGTTGGGCAAACTAAAGTGCACAGAGGTGAGGTAATTGCTCAAGGTCACATAGTAAGTGGTAGGGCAAGGATGAGAACAAAGGTTCTACAAAGCCCATGTCTTTTCTAATAAGTTAGAATGCCCATGGCATGCTGGGCATTGGCAAAGTACTTTATTTATGTTATTTCACCCTTAGCCCTCGGCATGTTTAGGCTGTGTACGGAGAAAGTGTTATCCAATCATCCAAACACCCATTCACACATTCATCCTTCCTCTTGCTCCACATCCATCCACATCCACACACACGTACACACTCACAGCCATGCCTATCCATCTACCCAAATAGCCAGTCAGCTATGCATCCATTCATCCACTCACCTAGCCACTTTTTATCCATCCGTCTAGTCACTTCATAAGCCATCCATTCAAATACTCACTCAACCATTCTTCCACTTGTCTATTATGCTAAAATCTATCCATCTAAATATCCAGTCAGCTGACCATCCTTCCATTCATCCAATCACCTATTCACCCATCCATTTATCCAGCCAAACATCCACCCATACATCCAAACATGCATCCATCCATCTAAATATTCACCCAGACACCCATCCTTCCATTCCTCTAAACATCTGTTCATCTAAATATTCATCCATCCAAACATCCATTCACTCATTCATTCATCCAAATGCCTAACCACTCATCCATCTATTCATTGATCCAAACACACACCCACCTATCCAAACTCACACAAACACACACACACACACATCCAAACACCTACCCACTCATCCATCTATCCAGCCATTCATCCATCCTTCCGTCTCAACTTCTATTCATCTACCCAACAATTCCATCAACCATTATCCATCCAGATAGCTTAAAAAATACATACAACACGATTTTCAAAAAGAATAAGATGTTAAGATGAAGAATGAGGGTTGAAGAATAAGAGAAAGCTGGTGAACAACGTATGCAGAAATACATTTGGTAATCCCAGCACAATTACAAAACGTAGCCCACAAATATGGCTCTGAGCTTCCTAGATGCCAAAGCAATAAAGGAAACACAATCAGTTACAGAGTCACTGCATCCTTAACATTCAGTTAAACCAGCTGTTTAAATGGCAGTAAGGTCTGAGGAAAATGTCACTTCTGATTAGGATAATCATATGCCCCAATTTGCCTGGCTTAGTTCCAGTTTATGGCTGTTGTCTGGGTGTAATTAATAACAGCAACCTTTTCATTATCAGAATGGTAAACTGTTTACCATACATGTAAGACATTAGGAAGAGATCACCGAATTGTCAACAAAACAACTCTAGCCTTTTCCTTCCTTTGACTCCCTACAGTGTAGGCAGGTGCCAGTGGGCTAAAGAGTACAGGAATGTTTGCTGCTCGCATCTCTTCCCCTAATCCATCCCCAAAGATTTCCCCGAGATCTGAGCATCTCTTAGAACAACCAGGTCCTCTCCAATCCCCAGGCCTTCAGTGCTCCCACAGGCTTCGGAGGCCAACCTGCTTTTTACCTGCCAGCATTCTGGATGGAGAAAGTCTGCATAAACCAGACCTCCCCGGATTCTGTGTCTTGCCTTGCATTTTTGTTTTTTAAAATCATGTGAACCTCTTCCTTTAATACATAAGAGATAAACACACCAATAAATCTACTAAAAAAAAAATCTCTGCTAAAGCAAGTAGATTTATTATTGTAAGAAACATATCCAAGAGCCACCAGCCCTGGAGGAGGTCCCACAGGCCTCCAAGACACCCATCAGGCTCGGACCACTTTTTAAGGACTGTTAAAGCCAGAGAAGGAAGAACAGGCCAGCGGCGTGGGGAGAGGGTGAAGGAAGAGGGAGGCAGAGCCAAGCCCCCTGGATGTTTATTCTTAAAAAACTGCTGTGAGTTGAATTGTGTGCCCCTAAAAGATGCAGTGATGTCCTAACCCTCAGTACCTATGAACGCGACCTGATTTGGAAGTAAGATCTTTGCATGAGAGGTGAAAACACAGATGCACAGGGAAGATGCCATGTGACCACAGACGCAGAGATCGGAGCCATGAAGCTGTGCTCGTGAAGCAGCGGTGGCTGCTGCTCCCATTTTACTGATGCGGAGGCTGAGGTACAGCATGGCTGAGGACCCTGTCTCCAGCCCCCAGCCAGGGGCTGTGCTCAAATGCAGGCTCTATTCCTGCTGGAGCCACATCCCTGGGGGGCATGAGGTGAATACTTTTTAAAAGGGCTTCATCCTCCAAAAAGTTATTAAGGAGAAAGGAGGGGAGGAGATGTCACATGCATCATTACTTTTACTTCCAAGGTCTGTACCTACCCTTGAGTTGGAGGGGTGGTGACAGGGATGGTTCACACAAGTAGAGAAAGTGGGCAGGACAACAGACTGACCCAGTTGTCGAGGATGAGAAGTTCAACAGCTCGACCTAGACACCCCTGCTTCTTCTCCAGCTTGGATTTTTTATTTTTAATAAAAACTCAATTCTCAACAGAAGACAGCTCCCAACACCCATTAGAGCAGAGAAAAACAGCACGGGGAGCTGCTCATTATAAGATTTTTAAAAGGTCACCCAGTTCCACTTTTCCTAC